CCTGCCACAGAGGCAGTGTGGGATGGGCGATGGGGGGTGGGAGGGGTACTGGGATTGGTGGGGGTGGAGAATGGGCACTGGGTGGGATGGGTACTCAATCATTGGATAACTGAAACCTAAGCACAAAAACTTGTAAGTCTACAACCGTACCTCATGGTGCTTCATTAATAAAACAGAAAAACAGAAAAGACCCTGAATGATCGGTTTGAGGCTCTGCATATTCCTAGAAGGAGCAGATGCCATTGGGCTACGCTAGCACGCAACAGGGATGAATGGAGACGTTACTAGCACCCGCTCGAGTAAATCGATGAGTACCAGGGTATCAAGTGATCAAGTGACTTTTAGTCTTTTAATTGTACAAATAATTTTCAGTGTACGAAAACTAAAAGATAAAGGTAAGATAATGATCTTACTTAATTTTCCCAGGTATTAATCCTTTGGGAAAATAATTGTATGTTACAATACGTTTTGCTCCCAAAATCAATAAAAATTATCCAAGAGCAGCTGTGACCATCAGTGCTACTTTGTTATATACAAAATTATTTACATTCTTTGCAATTTCACCTTCAAAATCTTTTTTTGGGATGAGGAGTCCACCTAGCTGTGCTTAGAGCTTAGCCAGAGATCACTCTCGATCACCCTCAGGGGCTCCTGGGACCACACGCAGTAATGGGGAAGGAACCCAAGCTGGATGCATGCAAGGCAAGCACCCAACCTGCAGTACTAGTTCTATGCCTCCTCAATACTCACAATCGTACTTGGTGCTAGTCATATTATTTTACTTTGAGGGAAAGGAGGGATTTGGGATCACACAGGGTGGTCCCTGGGGTGTACAAGGTGACTTCCATTTCTGCACCTCTGTCGGTATGGACAGAAAGTATGGTGCCAGGAATGGACCTGGGCATCTTGCACTCAAAGGACACACCATCCTTTATATTAAGTCTGCAGCCCTGATGCTATTAAAAGATTGCTTTAAGCAGCAGCAATTCCAAAATAACTCAACATCAGATTCAGGCATGCTGTGGATACCAGACTCGTTAATGCTTGGTATTTTTTTTTCCATGAAAACAAAATTTCAGATTATTTCACTCCGGAGCTTTCAGATTTTTTCACTCTGGAGAAGCGCATGTTCTCCCTTGAACAAGTATTTCTCTTCCCACTTTTTTTCTACTTTGGAGAAGCCCATGTTTGTTCATGAGCCCATATTCTTCACTTTCTCTCCCTTCACATCCAATCTCCAAATTTCTTACAATAATGTATTTTTGCTGCAGTTTAAAAAAAAAAGGACAGGGGTATGGTGCCCCCAGCAGGTCAATCTGTACCTATGAGGAGAATGCATCAGCAGCCTGATGGCGCCTTCACACTTCCAGATACCCAAAAATTGCTGCTGTGTCACTCTTTACAATAGCCAGAATCTAGAAAAAACCTGAGTGCCCAAGAACAGATGACTGGTTAAAGAAAATTTGGTACATTTACACAATGGAGTACTATGTAGCTGTTAGAAAAGACGAAGTCATGAAATTTCCATACAAGTGGTAAGACATGGAAAGTATCATGTTAAGCGAAATGACTCAGAAAGAAAGGGATAGACATAGAAAAATTGCATTCATCTGGGGAACATAAAGTAACAAAATAGGAGACTAACACACAAGAATGGCCGAGATGAGTACCAGGAATTTTACTCCATGGCTTGGAGGCCAACCACACAGGCTAGGGGAAAAGGGAGCTCAGATAGAGAAGGGAACACCAAATAAAGGTGTTGGGAAGATCCTCCCAAGATAGGAGAAGCATGCTGAAAGTAGACTATAGACCAAACATGATTGCCACTCAATGCCTCTTTTGCAAACCACAACACCCGAAAGGAGAGAGAGAACAAAAGGGAATGCCCTGCTACGGTGGCAGGGTGGGATGGGCGGAGTGGGGGGTGGGAGGGATCCTGAGATCCGTGGTGGTGGGAAATGGGCACTGGTGGAGAGATGGGTATTTGATCACTGTATAATTGAAACCCAAGCACAAAAATTTGTAAGTCTGCAACTGTACCTTATATCTCACTAATAAAAAAAATTGCTTCCGTGCCTTTGGCCAGACCCCAAAAACTTGGGGCAAAGTTTCCCAAGAAAGTAAACGGCCAAAAGTTAGGTATGTGGGAAACACACGAACAAAACACCTGCAGCTCAGCTATATAATTGGAGACATGCCTCTCTGGTTCCTGATTGAACTGCTTAATGGCCATGATCCCGGAGACTCAGAAACAAATCTTGAAACCCAGGGGCTTTTGGCAGAAATGCGTCTGGTCCCTGCAGTAGGTTACCAGTGCTGGGCCAATCCAGGTGAGATAGTTTTCGTGCCTTGGTCTGTTCCCCCCGGCGGCCCTGTGGCCGCCATGCTTCAGAGACCACTGGACAGGCAGGTTTGGGCTCGCAGTGATGAGAAGCACGGGGTCTCACAGGATGGTGGTGGAGCCGCCCTTTTCCTCCCTGTCCAAACAAGACCCTGAGTCGCTGCCCACAAATGGCCTCTTTGACTCCTGATCAAGCAGCTTACTGGCCATGATCCCAGAGACTCAGGAGCAAATCTCGAAACCCAGTGGCTTTTGGTAGAAATCCCTCTAGATTTTTGTTAAAATTTCAGAATTTCAAAATTAAATGGCCCTACTGCAGCCACGAGACATCATATGTTATCCATAACCAGCAATAGAACACAAATTGTCTACTGTTGCCTTTTCAGCAAATCTGAGTGTTGGTGTAAAATCTCAAATGATAAAGGTGGGTCTGGTTTCGAACTATTGAATGGGATCCAAGTAGAGAGAGAGTAATGTGGAAATCATCTGCCCCACAGGTATGGGGAGGGTGTGGGAATGGGGTATATTGGAGATTTTGGTAGTGGAGAATGGGCACTAGTGAAGGTACCGGTGTTTCATTGCATGACTGAGACTTAGACCCGAAAGCTTTGTAACTGCTCTCACGGTGATTCAATAAAGACAATGATAAAAAGAGAAAAAAAGAGAGTAAGGTGAGTTCATGCACAATTCAATCCGCTAATCAGTGGCCGAATAAATAGCAGTCCACTCACATTTAAAAAAAAAAAGGAAAATAACTTTTTAGCAGCACATTCTTTCAAGTGGCTGCTCCCTGCTCTCCCCAGGACCTTGAGTTCACCAGGTGGACAGGACTTGTGGGAAGAGGGAGAGCAGCAGCAGCCCAGAGGGGCTGCACAGAGAGCAAGCCCTGCTGCAGGGCCACAGCTGACCTGTCCTCGCTGTGATGCGCTCGGTGACATCACCGACCTCTCTTTGTGATGCAACCAGACATTCTGCAGCCTCCCCAACTGTCCCATACTCATTACTTGGTTCACTGCGGAAACGCATAGACAGCAAACATGTTTTGCTGTTTACCAAGAAATCGTGGTTGTAAAACCCCCAAGTGTAGGACACTGAAAAGATTCAGAAACTGGGTGAGGACTCACTGGAGAACTCCCCGGAATTCTTCACGAGGACAGCCGCTAGTTCAGGTCAGCAGGAACTGGCCCGGGCACCCCAGCACTGATGCCCGTGATCAGTCTTCATCACCTCCCTGAGTGTGATGGCGCAGAAGCTGTGTATGTGGAAGAGTGTGCACACCCGGGAGTGAAAGTGTTTATCGGAGAGAGTAAATTTGAGTGTGTACTGGAGATGCTGTGTGTGTGTGAGTATGTGCATTTGTGTATATACGTGTGTCTGTATGTGTGTTGTGAGATCATCTTGAGGGCAGCCTGCTCCTAGCAGGTGAGTCATCAAATCTAGCCCCCAAGGCCAGGTCACTGCTCACTGAGTTGGCACGAGGAGGTGCTCTTGGGCCAAGACTTTTCTAACATTGATTGTTTCAGTCTCATTCCTATGGGAGGCCTGTGTAGATGCAGGTCCACCAGCAGGGAGGAACTCAGAAGGGAGGGGGAAGCAGCGCTTCTGGAGCTGAGCCTTTGTGGTTCTCCCTCCACAGAGCAGCCCACAGGAGAGAGAGACGCTCCCACAGCAGAGCAGCCCACAGGAGAGAAAGAAGATCTTCTACATATCCTCTGGGTCCAGTTCCTCTGAAGAAAGTCTGGAATCAGCCAGCACCAAGCAGAGCCAGACACCATCTAAGCAGAAAGTTGACATTGGCCAAGGATTGTCAACTCCCCAAAGAGCACCGCGTTCAGTGCCTTGGCCTTACACATATGGCAGAGAACGAGACTCAGAGCACCAGAAGAAAACGGGTAAGAACCAAGGGGTGTGTGTATATGCACAAGTAAAGGGGGAATGGGAAAAGGCCCACCTAGAGGTGTCCTGGGCGCTGGTGTGGGAAAGGAGAGTCACAGGCCATAGAGCCCATTCCGGGGAGGCCTCCACAGGAAATCCCCGTGAGGTGGGCCCATGGTCTCCCCTTCCTGCTGGGCTCCCTGTTGGGGTCACCTTTGGAGAATCCATGGAAGGAGCCCTCTGGGTGACCTTTTCTCTTATTGATTCTTTAGCTCCAGCTCTGAAAGCATACTTGGCTCCGTGTCGAAGGACAGCGCCGTCAATGATCTCTCCAGTACCAGCTGCACGGCCACCCGCTGTGGCAACATTGGACCAGTTCCCAGAGGACCTAGCATGGTTACAACTGGAAGAAGCCCAGGGTCTCACATCAGTGTCTCTGTCTGGAGACCCTCCCACCAATGACTATCTTGCCTCGGTATATTTTATGATTTTTATTCTTTGTTTTTACTTTATCTGTTATATTTTCATTTAAATAAATTGTGATTGCTACTCTTCACATGCATCCAGTTGCATTTTTTTTCTTTTTCTTTTTTTGGTTTTTGGGTCACACCCAGAGAGCATAGGTGTTACTCCTGCCTCTTCACTCAGGAATTACTCCTGGCGGCGCTTGGTGGACCATATGGGATGTTGGTAATCGAACCCAGGTCTGCTGCGTGCAAGGCAAACACCCTACCTACTGTGCTATCACTCCAGCCCCGCATCCAGTTGCATCGTAACAAACTTCTCATTTGTTCTGGCATTCTTGAAAAGATTCATCTAACATAGAAGATGATTCTTCTTCATGTTCCTGATATAAATGAAACACAAAATAGAAAATACATTGATTTCTCTGCAGACCCAGTATGTATTTACCTAATATTCAGGCAATGCTCTATAATACCCAGAGGTAGTGCTGATAGATATTCATGAACAAAATTGGGGCGAACGAGACAGCACAGGGGGTGGGGCACCACCCTGAACACGGGGCACAAAGCACCATCAGGTACTGGAGCATAAAGGGCAGCAAATGCGCAACCAGGGTTTTGGTTACTCTTTGTTTTTTTTGGTTTTCAGTTATTGAGCCACACCAGAGATCAGCCAGAACGGGCCAGGTTCTTGCTGCCCCTGAGACTTTAACTTAAGGAGCTGCTGAGATCAAACAGGAGGGCAGAGGTGTTCAGGGCAATCCTGGCTCTGTGCTCAGGGACCAGACATGAAATGGGGAACTGACCCAGCGTCAGCCCAGGGGAGGCAGAGAATGGTCTTTCCCTCTGCGCCATTCTCTGGCCCTGGCAAATCTAAAAGGTAAAAGGTAAAGGCCCTCCCGTTGATCGTCGATTTGCTCGAGCGGGCCCAGTAACGTCTCCATCGGAGATTTTGTTGTTACTGTGTCTGGCATATCGAATACTCTCGGTAGCTTGCCGGGCTCTCCGAGAGGGGCGGAGGAATCGAACTCTGGTTGGCCATGTTGGCCGCTTGTAAGGCGAACGCCCTACCCGCTGTGCTATCGCTCCAGCCCTCGGCAGATCTAAATCGTCAGAAATTACCTTGGGTTCTTTGATTTCCAAGTCTTCTCCGTACTGAATGGCAAAATCAATGTGCTGTAATACAATGTTCATGCTTTCTTCATCTGAGTGATCGTAAAGCAAAAATCGGACCATGCTGTAGTCATCAATCTACAAATTAGAGATTTCAGAAAGGTCATTCAACTGACGCTTGAGTGTGAACATTGGTAGTCTAATTAATACCATCTATGCCTGTGCAGGGAGGAGCAGACAGAACAACAGCAAATCAGCATTAATTTTTTTATGACCTCTGACCTATTGGAACACTAGTAACATTACAACATTACTTAACTAAAGACTTTTTTTTTTATTTTTGGGTTATACCTGGTGATGCACAGGGGTTACTCCTGGTTCATGTACTCAGGAATAACTCCTGGTGGTTCTCAGGGGACTTATGGGATGCTAGGAATCAAACCCGGCTCGGACCCATGCAACGCAAATGCCCTACCTGCTGTGCTATCTCTCCTGCCCCGACCAGAAACTGAGACTTCTTTTAAAGTAATTTATCTGCATTCAACCACCACTGAATATTTCAAAAGGGTACAGGCAATTCTGATGTGCCAAGTGGCCAGGAAAAAAAGACATTGCAGAATTTCTCTGCTGTGGGACGATAGAGCTAGTACACCGAGGTGGGCGCTTGCCTTGCAAGTAGGCAGGGGATGCACCCGGGTTCGATCCCCCGCATCCCGTATGCTCCCGGAGCCCACCAGGAATGATTTCTGGAGGCACAGCCAAGAATAAACTCTGACCACTGCTCAGTGTGGCCTCCTGCCCTCTCTGCTACAACCAATGACAACTTTTTTCAGAGGTGAGGGGAGGCCACATCCAGACAACGCTGGTGGCGACCATATGGTGCCAGAGATAACCCTGGGCCCCTTGTGTGCAAAGTCTGTGGTGCTGCCCACTGAGCTCTCTCCCTACTTCTATACTAACTTCGAAGCAGACAGCCGACCGCTCCCAACATGCTGCTCCCCTAAAAAGACATGTGTGGCAGGGGATTGCCCTGCCACAGAGGCGAGGGGATGGGGGATGGGGGTGGGGGGATATTATCCATGGGGGTGGAAAATGGGCACTGGTGGAGGGATGGGTATCTGATCATTGTATAATTGAAACCAAAGCACAAAAAATTGTAAATCTACAACTGTAAAAAAAAATAAAATAAAATAAAGAGGAAAAAAAACATAAAAAAAGAAAAAAAAAAGACATGTGCTGGTCTGTGCCGTCCATATGGTGGCCAGTGCCTGGGGTGTGTAAGCATGTGATAAGAAGATTAAGAAAAATATGGGTCTAGGGGGGTTCGCGGGAGGGGATGAATAGCTACGACAGGGGTTACAAATGGCCTACACCCCGCACACCTCAGTTTGAACACCCAGCACCACATATGGTCCACCAGGCACAGGGGAGAAACAGCCCCTGAGCACCACCGGGTGTGGCCCCCAAACTTTAAAAACAACCCACAAACACCCCAAACACTTGCAAAACTCATCAGCCCAGGGATTAGCACAGCGCTTGATTCTTGGCACCAGATGGCATCCTAAGCATTGCTGGGTACAGCCAGGAAGGAACCAAAACTGCTGGTACGGCCCTCTGGGCCCTAGCAATGACCACTACTAGCCTGGTGGGCCAATAATCAGAGTGGGCCCTAGGCCCCCCAGTACAGGAGGCCCACCATCCCCACCACCAAAATTTAGAAAAATACAAAGTCTTACCAGCCCACATATGGCGTTAGTCAATTTTTTGAATTTTTTGCTTCTGAAGTTACTTGTAGAATCATCTAATAAAGAATACATGTCTGGATCTAGAAACCTTTAAACATGAGAGACTGGTGAATGAAAGAATCCTAAACACTAAATTTGTAGACTGACAATCGAAGTGAAACGAAAAAGGTTCAGCACTGCCAATGAGACCTTAATTATAGTGAATTTACTTCTCAATTTCCTTTTTAGCTCTTTTACTCAACAGGTCCATTTTTGTCATGATGTTAACTTGCGGGATTTCTAGAGATACCATAGCACTCAAGGCTGCCAAGATGCCAGAAATAAACTGAAAGAGGACGCAGAAAAGGGACGATGAATCAGTTGTCACCAACAGTGTCCACATAAAAGGTTTCTGATCCCCACTGGAACAAAACCCACATAAATAGGAGAAACGCTAAGATTGGGGCCCGAGCAAGAGTCCAGGCTTTAAGGCGCTTGCCTTGCGCCTGGTCAGCCCAGGTTCTAGCCCAGCACTCCACAGGGTTCCCAGAGCACTACCTAAGTGATTCCTCAGCACAGCGCCAGTAGTGAGCCCTGAGCACTGCCAGGCTGGGCCTAACAGAAGACTGCTGGGCCAATAGCTGACCTTAGGATTCTAAAGGTGAGATGGGAAGAAGAAATGCAATCTAGAGTGACCACACTTCTCCACTCAACAATATTTTAAAGTGTTCAGGAGGTAGCTGGGGTTGAGTTCAGCACTGAGGAAACATGTAGTGACAGGGATTAAAAGCAGGTGGGCCACATCAAGGCGAGCTCCTTAAGCCCTTTACTATTTTTTTTGAGAAGGGAAGGGTGGTAATACCTGGCAATGCACAGGGGTTACTCCTGGCTCTGCACTCAGGAATTACTCCTGGTGGTGCTTAGGTGATGCTAGGAAACGAACCCGGATTGGCTGTGTGCAAGGCCCTACCCGCTGTATTATCACTCCAGCCCCCATTTTTAAAATTTACTTATTTATTTATTTTTGGGAAGCCCTGTACTATTTCTGACCCTTTAACGTTATCTTCTCTCATGCTCCCCCTCCACCTCCCCTGATGGGTATTTCCTTTTGCGTTTCTGGGTCACACAATCCCCTGATATTACTAAGGGGTCACTTCGGCTTCTGCACTAAAGAGTTACTCCTGACTAGCTTTGGGAACCATATGGGTGCTGGAGACAGAACCAAACGCCCTCCCTTTCAGTTTTGGGGAATACCCAGTAGTACTCCGAGCTTTGTGGTCAAGGATCACTCCTGGAGCGGCTATGGGGGCCCAGTGGCAGTATGGCAGGAATGACACCCAGGCTGGCCACATGCAAGGCAAGAGCTCTACCCACTGTACTAGCTCTCAGGCATCCAGCTTTTTATTTTTCTCGTTTTGGAGCCACACACAGTGGTGCTTGGGACTTACTTCTGACACTGCCCTAGGACAACTCCTGAAGGCGACAGCTGAGAGTTGGGTACCACTAGAACTGCACAAGGGGCAAACTCAGGGCCTCGAATATGCCAGCTCTGTGCTCTGCCACTGGAGCCATCTTCTTGGCATATTAATTTAACAAACATAAGTTCTAAGTCACTCCTGGGTATAGTTCATGAACTGTTAACAATTAAACTATTATGACTAAAGGTATTTGCACTCTGCTTGTGCCGGAGACTGAAAATCAAGGACAGGTATAGTTTCAAACCTTGAACGACTCCACCATGAATTGAGAATCAACAAGAAATAATCCACAGGCTCGAACTCCCACTGTTCCAGCTGCTGAACCAGCTGTTTCATCATGGGCAGGTTTGTGTACAACTCGATCTGACCGCCAAGAACACAAGCTTATTATGAGCATGAAATACATTCAACCCTCAATTATGGGATAAAAACTTTTCCCGGAAACTGTTTTAGGGGGCTTGAGAGATAGTATAGAGGGTGGGAACTTGCCTTGCACACAGCCAACCCGGGTTCGATCCCATAGGGTCCCTTGAACACAGCCAGGAGTAATTCCTGAGCACAGGAGCTAGGAGTAACCCCTGAGTATCATCATACACGGCACTCATGGTCCCCCCAAAACTTTTTTAAAGGAAGTCAATCCCTACAAGTAATATATTCAATTTTGCTTGTTTTAAGCCGCACGTGGGGATGCTTGAGGGTCTCCCCGAAACTGCTGGGAGGGCTCGAAGCTACTCAGAGTCCTACATACAAGGCCTACTACATGCAAGGCCCACTACATGTAAAGCATGTCCCCAGCCCACTATCTCTCTAGCCCTATACTATATTCAATTTTTGTTTTGTTTTTTTTTTTGGGGGGGGGGGGAGGAACTACCTGATAGTGCTCAGGGCTTATTCCTGATTCTGTGCTCAGGGATGACTCGTGGCAGGCTCCAGGAACCATATAGGGTAGCAGGGATCACCTTAGCTGTGTGCAAGGCAAGTGCCCTACCCACTGTAGTATCTCTCTGGCTCCCCCAATATTTTTTTTTCATTTTGGGTCACACCTGGTGATGCGCAGGGGTTACTCCTGGCTCTGCACTCACGAATTAATCCTGGCAGTGCTGGGGGGACCATATGGGATGCATGGGTTCCAGGTCAGCCGCATGCAAGGCAAACGCCCGACCCATTGTTCTATCACACCTGCTCCCCTGGCACCCCCCGGAATTTTTTAAGCAACTCTGGGTGCACATGTACGTAAAAGGGGCATACAAAGAAAATATACTGTCATCATCATCATCACTGTTCTGCTGTTGTTCATTGATTTGCTCGAGCAGGCCCAGTAACATCTCCATTGTGACAATTGATACTGTATTTGGCATATGGAATATGTCACGAGGAGCTTGCCAGGCTCTGCTGTGCAGGCGAGATACTCTTCGGTAGTCTGCTGGGCTCTCCAAGAGGGGTGGAGGAATCAAACTCCAGTCGGCCATGTTGGCTGGTTGCACAAAAATTATTAAAAATGATTTTAAAACGGGCTGCAGTGATAGCACAGCGGTAGGGCATTTGCCATGCTCACAGCCGGCCCAGCAAAACAGGTTCAACTCCTCTGCCCCTCTCGGATAGCCCAGCAAGCTACCGAGAGTATATTGCCCACATGGCAAAGACTGTTAAGCTACCTGTGATGTATTCGATATGACGAACACAGTAACAACAAGTCTCACAATGGGAAGTTACTGGGCCTGCTCAAGCAAATCAATGAACAACTAGAGGACAGTCACAGGGATTTCATTTACTTATTTATTTATTTACTATTTTTGCATTTTGGGTCACACCCAGAGATGCTCAGGGTTTATTCCTGGCTCTGCACTCAGGAACCACTCCTGGCAGTGCTCAGGGGACCATATGGGATGCTGGGATTCGAACCTGGGTCGGGCACATGCAAGGCAAACGCCCCACCCGCTGTGCTATCGCAGTGATCCAGCCCCGACAATGACAGATTTTAAAACAAATTTTTATTCTCTTAGTTTGAGGGGAGGAACTTTGGGCCAAACCCACTGGGATTCTGGGAGGATTCCTGACTCTGTATTAAAAATAACTCCTGGCAGTGCTTGGGGGATCCTATCTGGTACCAGGGATCCAAACTTGGGCTGGCAGAAAGTAAGGCAAGGGCTTTAGCTGCTGTACTATGGCCCTAAAAAACAAACAAACAAAAAATCTTGGTTTTGGCCCATACCTACTAGTATTCATTGACCCATATATGGTGCCAAGGACTGAACCTGTGTCTGCCGCAGCATCCTACCCATCCTTCTGTCTCTCTAGCTCTAAAGCAAACCTTTCAAGAGCTGCATAACCGAAGTTGGAGTGATAGCACAGCAGGTAGGGCGTTTGCGTTGCACACGGCCGACCCGGGTTCGATTCCCAGCATCCCATATGCTCCCCTGAGCACTGCCAGGAGTGATTCCTGAGTGCAAAGTCAGGAGTAATTCCTGAGTATCACCAGGTGTGACCTGCAAAGCAAAAAAAAAAAAAAATGCTGCATGACCTGGTACCCAAGAAACAATAGACTGAGCATATGCTCTGCATGCAGAAAGCCTGGGTTCAGTTCCCAGTATGCTTTGGTACCCCAAGCAGGGCTGGGAGCTACCTCCTGATAACAGTTAGGAAGAGTCCCAGCCTCTAGCACCTCTGGATGTGGCCCCCAAACAGATGAAAACAAACAGACATTCCACAGCCCCTCATGGGATGACAGTCCACTGTCCAAGAATCTGGGGTAAAAGTAAATGAGATGCTAATTTCACTTTCTCCCACCAAGGACAGAACTGCACAACCCAGGGAAGATGACAATCTAATTACTGAGCTACCTGGACAGTCAAAAAGGATGCAGTCATCCTCGACATGGCCAAGGCAGTTCTCCAGCCACTCAAAGTTACTGGCGAAGTACTCCATGCAAAACACCAGTCCTCCATTGGGACCGAAGCGCAGGGAACCGTCCTCCATCACATCATCCACCTCGATCAGTTCCCGGATGTCTGCAAAGAATATACAGGAAATGAGTGCCCATTCCAAAATATTTACATTCATTAGTAATTACAACTGTGACAGTATCCACAGAAACTGAACAGGGGCTAGAAAGAAAAAACAAAAAACAAAAACAAAAGACCCTAAACAGGGGCCTGAGGAATAGAACAGTGGGTAAGGCGCTTGCCTTGCATGTGGACAACCCACGTTCAATCCTTGGCACCTCATATAGTTCCTCAGCTTCACCAGGAGTGATCCTGGAGCACAGAGCCAGACGTGCTGAACACAGCTGGGTGTGGCCCAAACCCCACCCCACCCATTAAGAAAAGAAAACAAATAAAACAAATAAATTGCAGTAGTCAAGGGAATCCCACTCTCAAGTCATGATGCATTACAGTCTCCCAGGTAGACTTAAACCAGAATCACAAGGGGCAGTACTCTTAGAAGGTTAGTAGTTTAACTTATAAAAGAAAGGGGCATGGCTGGAGAGATAGTACAGGACACCCTGGAGTGACGGCAGTATCAGCAGCAAACCCTGAGCACCACCAGATATGGCCCCAAAACAAAACAAAAGGCCAAAGAGACAAGAAGGATTTAGGCCCAGTTCAAATTCCACCCCCACGTAAGCCCTGCAGGAGCAGAGCCAGTAGCGACCCCCAACAGTTAAACCAAATGCTTCAATTCTTGTACTGTATTTTGACCTCTTTCTTCCTTTGGTTTTGGAACCACAGCTGGTGGTCAGGGGCATCCCGAAACATGCACTACATCCCTCTAAGTTAGCACCTTGGCCTCTGATTTATTTCTCCCCCTTTGGCCTCCCAGGCAGTGTTCAGAGGCCCAGGGGCCAGAGACCAATTGCCAGTGCCCCAAAATGAGATGATCACCTGGAAGGGGGTTAGGGGCTAGAGAACTATACCCAACAGTGCTCAGGGGGCCCTGCAGTGCCGGGCATTAAAACAGCATCCTGTGTGTGCCAATTATTTGCTCCGAACCCCTCTACTGTCTTCCTGGCCTCCACACTTAATTTTGTGCAAAGATGTTAAGGAATAACACTACAGCATTAGGTAATATTCTCAGCCTCAGAGGAAGCAAGAGTTGGGAATGACTTTTTCCTGCACACTCTCATGTACCTTTTGCATTCTGAATACTGTGCATATAAAACATCTGTTCTAAAACAAGTGAAGTGGGGCTGGAGCGATAGCACTGCGGGTAGGGCGTTTGCCTTGCACGCGGCCCAACCCGGGTTCAATTCCCAGCATCCCATTTGGTCCACTGAGCACAGCCAGGAGTACTTCCTGAGTGCATGAACCAGGAGTAACCCCTGTGCATTGCTGAGTGTGACCCAAAAAGCAAAATAAAATAAAAGAGGTGAAGCAAGGGACAGGGCAAGGAGGGATAGTACAGTGGATAGGGGATTCACCTTGCACACTGTCGATCAGGGTTCAATCCCTGGCATGCATATGGTCTCCCCAAGCACCACCAGGAGTTATTCCTGAGTGCAGAGCCAGGACTCACCCGAGCATCAGGAAAAACAAGGGCTAGATAGACTAAAGGCGCTTGCCTTGCATGCTGCCAACTTGAGTTCAATCCCCTCTGACCTAAGAATTTAAAGCGAGACTCATGACATCTCCCTTTTTATTAAGAGAAACAAAGGGAACTGTCACAAGCACATCAATAAGTGGATGCTAACACATGATGTTCTGCTGTCTACCATGAAAGCAGGGATCAGACTGAACGAAGTTTTCAGCTTCTGTGCCTCCCCAGAAGCAGGGGCAGCACTCACAGCCTCAGGGCCCCCAAGGAGAGGGAAGGCTGCGCCCGGGACTCACCAGCCATCACATCATAGTTGAAATGCTCTGCCGCGGGATCTAAGTTCACCACCTGGACAGAACGGCCGAGGGCTTCACAGTGCTGGACCATGGTGGCACAGTAGGTGCTCTGTGGACCGGGAGGCAGGAGGGGACAGAATTTCAGGCAGACCCAACACCACCAGACGAACCCCCACAGCCCCTGGTCAGTGTCTGCTGAGGCCCAAACTAAGCCTTAATCCCCGGGGCTGGGCATCAGGGAACTGCATGCAGTGCAGATTCAGCCCTACTGTGGCCACACTGAACTCAGGCCAGCGGCATCTTTCCAGCCAGTGTCCTTATCCCTGGCACATGGTCTACTCACTGCTATCAGGTGGGGTAAGTATGATTGAAAGGGAAGAATTCTCCCCCGCCCTTGATTTTGGGCCACAGCCAGCTGTATTCAGAGGTGCCTACATCGTTTGTAGTTTGAACCCAGATTGGGTGTGTGCAAGGCCCTGCATGCTCAACCTTATAGGACTCTATTTCCCTTTAAAAATGAGAATAGGGTCTGGAGCATAGCACAGAAGGTAGCACTCAGCTGACCCGGGTTCGATTCCCAGCATCCCATATGGTCCCCTGAGCACCGCCAGGAGTAATTCCTGAGCGCAGAGTCAGGAGAAACCCCTGTGCAGTGCCAGGTATGACCCAAAAACAAAGGCTGTGGAACTAAAGGGGCCCTGGAGCGGGGACACAGAGAGTCCAGAGGGCAGGACACTCCCCTCGCACAAGAAATCCAAATGGCTAAAAGGCACATGAGAAATTGCTCTACGTCATTAATCATCAGGGAAATGCAGATCAAAACAGCAATGAGATATCATGTCACACCACAGAAATTGGCCCACATTCAAAAGAACAAAAGCAACCTGTGTTGGCGTGGATGTGGCTAGAAAGGAACCCCTGGGCATCACCTGGTGTTACCCAAAATCAAAAATAATAATAATAATAATAATTTTTAAAAATGAGGGTGGTAACGAATAAGTTATTGCGCAATAAACACTCTCCGCTCTTCCCCAGAGCCTCGGCCGCCCGGCCCCCACCAACTACCATTTTCTTTTTTTTTCTTAAATTTAATTTCATTTTTTAAATTTTTAATTTTTTTAATTTTTCCATTTCATTGTCAAGGGCTGGAGCGATAGCACAGGGGTAGGGCGTTCGCCTTACAAGCGGCCAGCATGGCCAACCCGAGTTCGATTCCTCCGCCCCTCTCGGAGAGCCCGGCAAGCTACCAAGAGTATTCGATATGCCAAACACAGTAACAACAAAGTCTCCAATGGAGACGTTACTGGGCCCACTCGAGCAAATCGACGAACAACGGGAGGGCCATTTTTTTCTTTCTTTCCATTTTCTTTTTAAATTTTCCATTTAAAATTTTTTTTTAAATTTTTACTATCTTTTTTTTTTATTAGTGAAACACCATGAGGTACAGTTGTAGATTTACAATTTTTTGTGCTTGGGTTTCGATTAAACAATGATCAGATACCCATCCCTTCACCAGTGCCCATTTTCCACCACCATGGATAATAACCCCCCCACCCCCATGCCCCCATCCCCCCCGCCTCTGTGGCAGGGCAACCCCCTGTGTTCTCTCTCTCTCCTTTTGGGTGTTGTGGTCTGCAAAAGAGGCATTGAGTGGCAAACATGTTCAGTCCATAGTCTACTTTCGACATGCATCTCCCCTCCTGGGAGGATCCTCCAAACACCCTTTATTTGGTGCTCCCTTCTCTATCAGAACTGCCCTTTCCTCTAGAATACCTGGCTGGCCTCTATCCTCCTGGTGCTGATCTCAGCTATTCTTGGGTATTAATCTCATACTTTGTTACTTTATATCCCCCAGATGAATGCAATCTTTCTATGTCTATCCCTCTCTTTCTGACTCATTTCGCTTAGCATGATACTTTCCATATTGTACCACTTGTATGTAAAGTTCATGACTTCATCTTTTCTAAGAGCTACATAGTACTCCATTGTGTAGATGTACCAAAGTTTCTTTAACCAGTCATCTGTTCTTGGGCATTCAGGTTTCTTCCAGTTTCTGGCTATGGTAAAGAGTGCTGCAATGAACAAACAAGTGCAGATGTCACTTCGACTATACATTTTTGCCTCTCTGGGATATATTCCCAGGAGTGGTATTGCTGGGTCAAAGTGATCAAAGTAGAGAGAGAGAGTAATGTGATCAAAGTAGAGAGAAAGAGTAATGTGCAAATCATCTGCCCCACAGGTATAGGGAGGGTGTGGGAATGGGGTATATTGGGGATTTTGGTAGTGGAGAATGGGCACTAGTGAAGGTACCGGTGTTTCATTGCATGACTGAGACTTAGACCCGACTTAGAACCGAAACTTTGTAACTGCTCTCACGGTGATTCAATAAAGACAATGATAAAAAATGAAAAAAAGAGTGTAAGGAGGAGTTCATGCCCAATTCAATCAGCTAATCAGTGGCCGAAAAAATAGCAGTCCACTCACATTTTAAAAAAAAAAGGAAAATAACATTTTAGCAGCACATTCTTTCAAGTGGCTGCTCCCTGCTCTCCCCAGGGCCTTGAGTTCACCACATGAACAGAACTTGTGGGAACAGGGAGAGCAGCAGCAGCCCAGAGGGGGCCTCACAGAGAGCAAGCCCTGCTGCAGGGCCACAGCTGACCTGTCCTCGCTGTGATGCGCTCGATGACATCACCGAACTCTCTTTGTGATGCAACCAGACATTCTGCAGCCTCCCCAACTGCCCCCATACTCATTACTTGGTTCACTGCGGAAACGCATAGACAGCAAACATGTTTTGCTGCTTACCAAGAAATCGTGGTTGTAAAACCCCCAAGTGTAGGACACTGAAAAGATTCAGAAACTGGGTGAGGACTCACTGGAGAACTCCCCGGAATTCTTCACGAAGACAGCCGCTAGTTCAGGTCAGCAGGAACTGGCCCGGGCAGCCCAGCACTGATGACCGTGATCAGTCTTCATCACCTCCCTGAGTGTGATGGCGCAGAAGCTGTGTATGTGGAAGAGTGTGCACACCCGTGTGTGAACGTGTTTATCGGAGAGAGTAAATTTGAGTGTGTACTGGAGATGGTGTGTGTGTGTGAGTATGTGTATTTGTGTATGTACGTGTGTCTGTGTGTGTGTTGTGAGATCATCTTGAGGGCAGCCTCTCCTACCAGGTGAGTCATCAAATCTAGCCCCCAAGGCCAGGTCACTGCTCACTGAGTTGGCACTAGGAGGTGCTCTTGGGCCAAGACTTTTCTAAACTTGATTGTTTCAATCTCATTCCTATGGGAGGCCTGTGTAGATGCAGGTCAAACAGCAGGGAGGAACTCAGAAGGGGGGTATGAGGGGGAAGCAGCGCTTCTGGAGCTGAGCCTTTGTGGTTCTCCCTCCGCAGAGCAGCCCACAGGAGAGAGAGACGCTCCCTCCGCAGAGCAGCCCACAGGAGAGAAAGAAGATCTTCTACATATCCTCTGGGTCCAGTTCCTCTGAAGAGAGTCTGGAATCAGCCAGCACCAAGCAGAGCAAGATACCGTCTAAGCAGAAAGTTGAGACTGGCCAAGGAGTGTCAACTCCCCAAAGGGCACCGCCTTCAATGCCATGGCCTTACACATATGGCAAAGAACGAGACACAGAGCACCAGAAGAAAACGGGTAAGAACCAAGGGGTGTGTGTATATGCACAAGAAAAATGGGAATGGGAAAAGGCCAACCTAGAGGTGTCCTGGGCGCTGGTGTGGGAAAGGAGAGTCACAGGCCGGAGAGCCCATTCTGGGGAGGCCTCCACAGGAAACCCCCGTGAGGTGGGCCCATGGTCTCCCCTTCCTGCTGGGCTCCCTGTTGGGGTCACCTTTGGAGAATCCATGGAAGGAGCCCTCTGGGTGACCTTTTCTCTTATTGATTCTTTAGCTCCAGCTCTGAAAGCATACTTGGCTCCGTGTCGAAGGACAGCGCCGTCAATGATCTCTCCAGTACCAGCTGCACGGCCACCTGCTGTGGCAACATTGGACCAGTTCCCAGAGGACCTAGCATGGTTACAACTGGAAGAAGCCCAGGGTCTCACATCAGTGTCTCTCTCTGGAGACCCTCCCACCAATGAGTATCTTGCCTTGGTATATTTTATGATTTTTATTCTTTGTTTTTACTTTATCTGTTATATTTTCATTTAAATAAATTGTGATTGCTACTCTTCACAAGCATCCAGTTGCATTTTTTTTTCTTTTTCTTTTTTTGGTTTTTGGGTCACACCCAGAGAGCACAGGTGTTACTCCTGCCTCTTTACTCAGGAATTACTCCTGGCGACGCTTGGTGGACCATATGGGATGTTGGTAATCGAACCCAGGTCTGTCGCGTGCAAGGGAAACGCCCTACCTACTATGCTATCCCTCCAGCCCCGCATCCAGTTGCATCGTAACATACTCTTCATTTGTTCTGGCATTCTTGAAAATATTCATCTAACATAGAAGACGATTCTTCTTCATGTTCCTGATATAAATGAAACACAAAATAGAAAATACATTGATTTCTCCGCAGACCCAGTGTGTATTTACCTACTGTTCAGGCAATGCTCTATAATACCCAGAGGTAGTGCTGATAGATATTCATGAACAAAATTGGGGCGAAGGAGACAGCACAGGGGGTGGGGCACCACCCTGAACAGGGGGCACAAAGCACCATCAGGTTCTGGAGCATAAAAGCCAGCAAATGCGCAACCAGGGTTTTGGTTACTCTTTGTTTTTTTTGGTTTTCAGTTCTTGAGCCACACCCAGAGATCAGCCAGAACGGGCCAGGTTCTTGCTGCCCCCGAGACTTTAACTTAAGGAGCTGCTTAGATCAAACAGGAGGGCAGAGGTGTTCAGGGCAATCCTGGCTCTGTGCTCAGGGACCAGACATGAAATGGGGAACTGACCCAGCGTCAGACCAGGGGAGGCAGAGAATGGTCTTTCCCTCTGCGCCGTTCTTGGCCCTGGCAAATCTAAAAGGTAAAAGGTAAAGGCCCTCCTGTTGATGGTCGATTTGCTCGAGCGGGCCCAGTAACGTCTCCATTGGAGACTTTGTTGTTACTGTGTCTGGCATATCCAATACTCTCGGTAGCTTGCTGGGCTCTCCGAGAGGGGCGGAGGAATCGAACTCTGGTCAGCTATGTTGGCCGCTTGTAAGGCGAACGCCCTACCCGCTGTGCTATCGCTCCAGCCCTCAGCAAATCTAAATCGTCAGAAATTACCTTGGGTTCTTTGAATTCCAAGTCTTCTCCGTACTGAATGGCAAAATCAATATGCTGTAATACAATGTTCATGCTTTCTTCTCTGACGGATCGTAAGGCAAAAATCGGACCATGCTGTAGTCATCATTGTACAAATTAGAGATTTCAGAAAGGTCATTCAACTGACACTTGAGCGTGAACATTGGTAGTCTAATTAATACCATCTATGCCTGTGCAGGGAGGAGCAGACAGAACAACAGCAAATCAGCATTAATTTTTTTATGACCTCTGACCTATTGGAAGACTAGTAACACTACAACATTACTTAACTAAAGACTTATTTTTTTTTATTTTGGGGTTATACCTGGTGATGCACAGGGTTTACTCCTGGTTCATGTACTCAGGAATAACTCCTGATGGTGCTCAGGGGACTTATGGGATGCTCAGAATCAAACCCGGCTCGGAACCATGCAACGCAAACACCCTACCTGCTGTGCTATAGCTCCTGCCCCGACCAGAAACTGAGACTTATTTTAAAGTAATTTATCTGCATTCAGGCACCACTGAAAATTTCAAAAGGGTACAGGCAATTCTGATGTGCCAAGTGGCCAGGAAAAAAAGACATTGCAGAATTTCTCTGCTGTGGGATGGGAGACCTAGTACACTGAGTTGGGCACTTGCCTTGCACGTAGGCAAGGGATGCACCCGGGTTCGATCTCCCCCGCATCCCGTATGCTCCCGGAGCCCACCAGGAATGATTTCTGGAGGCAGAGCCAAGAATAATCTCTGACCACTGCTCAGTGTGGCCTCCTGCCCTCTCTGCTACAACCAATGACAACATTTTTCAGAGGTGAGGGGAGGCCACATCCAGACGACGCTGGTGGAGACCATATGGTGCCAGAGATGAACCCTCGGCCCCTTGTGTGCAAAGCCTGTGGTGCTGCCCACTGAGCTCTCTCCCTACTTCTATACTAACTTCGAAGCAGACAGCCCACCGCTCCCAACATGCTGCTCCCGTATAAAAAGAAATGCGCTGGTCTGTGCCGTCCATATGGTGGCCACTGCCTGGGGGTGTATAAGCATGTGACAAGACCATGAAGAAAAATATGGGTCTAGGGAGGTGCGGGGGGAGGTGATGAAGAGCTACGACAGGGGTTACAACTGGCCTGCACCCCACACACCTCAGTTTGAACACCCAGCACCACATATGGTCCACCAGGCACAAGGGAGAAATAGCCCCTGAGCACCACCGGGTGTGGCCCTCAAACCTTAAAAACATCCCACAACAACCCCAAACACTTGCAAAACTCATCAGACCAGGGATTAGCACAGCGCTTGATTCTTGGCACTACATGGCATCCTGAGCATTGCTGGGTATAGCCAGGAAGCAACCAATACTGCTGGTACGGCCCTCTGGGCCCTAGCACTGACCACTACTAGCCTGGTGGGCCTATAATCAGAGCGGTCCCTAGGACCCCCAGCACAGGAGGCACACGACCCCCACCACCAAAAATTAGAAAAATACAAAATCTTACCAGCCCACATATGGCGTTAGTCAATTTTTTGAATTTTTTGCTTCTGAAGTTCCTTGTAGAATCATCTAATAAAGAATACATGCCTGGATGTAGAAACCTTTAAACATGAGAAACTGGTGAATCAAAGAATCCTAAACACTAAATTTGTAGACTGACAATCGAAGTGAAATGAAAAAGGTTCAGCACTGCAAAGGAGACCTTAATTATAGTGAACTTACTTCTCAATTTCCTTTTCAGCTCTTTTACTCAGCAGATCCATTTTTGTCATGATGTTAACTTGCGGGATTTCTAGAGATACCATAGCACTCAAGGCTGCCAAGATGCCAGAAATAAGCTGAAAGAGGAAGCAGGGAAGGGACGATGAATCAGTTGTCACCAACAGTCTCCACATAAAAGGTTTCTGATCCCCACTGGAACAAAACCCACCTAAATAGGAGAAAAGCTAAGACTGGAGCCGAAGCAAGAGTCCAGGCTTTAAGGCTCTTGCCTTGCGCCTGGTCAGCCCAGATTCTAGCCCAGCACTCCACAGGGTTCCCAGAGCACTACCTAAGTGATTCCTCGGCACAGCGCCAGTAGTGAGCCCTGAGCACTGCCAGGCTGGGCCTAACAGAAGACTGCTGGGCCAATAGCTGACCTTAGGATTCTAAAGGTGAGATGGGAAGGAGAAACGCGATCTACAGTGACCACACTTCTCCACTCAACAATATTTTAAAGTGTTCAGGAGGTAGCTGGGGTTGAGTTCAGCACTGAGGAAACATGTAGTGACAGGGATTAAAAGCAGGTGGGCCACATCAAGGCGAGCACCTTAAGCCCTTTACTTTTTTTTGGGGGGGGGGAGAGTGGTAATACCTGGCAATGCACAGGGGTTACTCCTGGCTCTGCATTCAGGAATTACTCCTAGTGGTGCTGAGGCATGCTAGGAATCGTACCTGGATTGGCTGTGTGCAAGGCCCTACCCGCTGTACTATCACTCCAGCCCCCATTTTTTTTCCCTTTATTTTATTTTATTTTTTTTTAAGTTGTAGATTTACAATTTTTTGTGCTTGGGTTTCGATTATACAATGATCAGATACCCATCCCTCCACCAGTGCCCATTTTCCACCACCATGGATAATATCCCTCCCACCCCCATCCCCCCCATCCCCCCCCGCCTCTGTGGCAGGGCAATCCCCTGTGTTCTCTCTCTCCTTTTGGGTGTTGTGGTCTGCAAAAGAGGCATTGAGTGGCAAACATGTTCAGTCCATAGTCCACTTTCGACATGCATCTCCCCTCCTGGGAGGATCCTCCAAACACCCTTTATTTGGTGCTCCCTTCTCTAACTGAACTGCCCTTTCCTCTAGGATACCCGGCTGGCCTCTAAGTTATGGAGTAATCCTCCTGGTGCTGATCTCAGCTATTCTTGGGTATTAATCTCATACTTTGTTACTTTATATCCCCCAGATGAATGCAATCTTTCTATGTCTATCCCTCTCTTTCTGATTCATTTCGCTTAGCATGATACTTTCCATGTTGTACCACTTGTATGTAAATTTCATGACTTCATCTTTTCTAACAGCTACATAGTACTCCATTGTGTAGATGTACCAAAGTTTCTTTAACCAGTCATCTGTTCTTGGGCATTCAGGTTTCTTCCAGTTTCTGGCTATTGTAAAGAGTGCTTCCAGCCCCCATTTTTAAAATTTACTTATTTATTTATTTTTGGGAAGCGCTGTACTATTTCTGACCCTTTAACGTTATCTTCTCTCATGCTCACTCTCCACCTCCCCTGGTGAGTGTTTTCTTTTTGGTTTCTGGGTCACACAATCCCCTGATATAACTAAGGGGTCACTTCTGGCTCTGCACTCAGGAGTTACTCCTGAGTGACTTGGGGAACCATACAGGTGCTGGAGACGGAACCAAACGGCCTCCCTTTCAGTTTTGGGGAATACCCAGTAGTACTCCAAGCTTTGTGGTCAAGGATCACTCCTGGAGGGGCTCGGGGGCCCGGTGGCAGTATGGCAGGGATGACACCCAGGTGGGACACATGCAAGGCAAGAGCTCTACCCACTGTACTATCTCTCTAGCATCCAGCTTTTTTTTTTTTTTTTTTTGGTTTTTGAGACACACACAGTGGTGCTGGGGACTTACTTCTGACACTGCCGTAGGAAACTCCTGAAGGCGACAGCTGATAGCTGGGGACCACTAGAACTACACTGAACAGTGCGCAAGGGGCAAACTCAGGGCCTCAAAACACACCAGCTCTGTGCTCTGCCACTGGAGCCATCTTCTTGGCATATTAATTTATATTCTTTTGTTTTTTCTTTTGTCTTCCCGTTGTTCATTGATTTGCTCGAGCGAGCCCAGTAACGTCTCCATTGTGAGACTTCTTGTTACTGTGCTTGGCATATTGAATACTCTCCGTAGCTTGCCAGGCTCTCCAAGAGGGGCGGAGGAATCGAACCTGGCTCGGGCAGGCTGGCTGTGCGCAAGGCAAATGCCCTACCGCTGTGATATCGCTCCAGCCTATGGCCATACCACCCTGTACGCGCCCGATCTCGTCTCGTCTGGCATATTAATTTAACAAACATAAGTTTCAAGTCACTCGTGGGTATAGTTCAGGAACTGTTAACAATTAAACAATTATGACTAAAGGTATTTGTACTCTGCTTGTGCCAGAGACTGAAAAATCAAGGACAGGTATAGTTTCAAACCTTGAACGACTCCACCATGAATTGAGAATCAACAAGAAACACTCCACAGACTCGGAACACCCACTGTTCCAGCTGCTGAACCAGCTGTTTCATCACGGGCAGGTGTGTGTACAACTCGATCTGACCTACAAGAACACAAGCTTATTATAAACATAAAATACATTTAACCATCAATGATGGGACAAAAACTTTTCCCGGAAACTGTTTTAGGGGGCTTGAGAGATAGTATAGAGGGTGGCAACTTGCCTTGCACACAGTCAGCCTGGGATCGATCCCATAGGGTCCCTTGAGCACAGCCAGGAGTAATTCCTGAGCACAGGAGCTAGGAGTAACCCCTGAGCATCATCAGATATGGCACCCGCCGTCCCCCCCCCGAATTTTTTTAAAGGAAGTCAATCCCTACAAGTAATATATTCCATTTTGCTTGTTTTAAGCCGCAGGTGGGGATGCTTGAGGGTCTCTCCGAAACTGCTGGGAGGGCTCGAGGCTACTCAGAGTCCTACATGCAAGGCCCATTACATGTAAAGCATGTCCCCAGCCCACTATCTCTCTAGCCCTATACTATATTCAATTTTAGTTTGTTTTTTGTTTGGGGGACTACCTGATAGTGCTCAGGGCTTATTCCTGATTCTGTGCTCAGGGATGACTCTTGGCAAAAAGAAAAAGACAACAAACAGGGGCCTGAGGAATAGAACAGTGGGTATGGCGCTTGTCTTGCCTGTGGACAACCCAGGTTCAATCCATGGCACCTTATATACTACCTCAGCTTGACCAGGAGTGATCCCTAAGCACAGAGCCAGAAGTGCAGAACACAGCTGGGTGTGGCCCAAACCCCACCCCAACCCTCAAGAAAAGAAAAAAAAAACTAAATAAATAACAGTTGTCAAGGGAATCCCACTCTCAACTAATGATGCATTACAGTCTCCCAGGTAGACTTAAACCAGAAACACAAGGGGCAGTACTCTTAGAAGGCTAGTAGTTGTACTTATAAATGATAAGGGCAGGGCACACACCCTGGAGTGACAGCAGTATCAGCAGCAAACCCTGAGCACCACCAGATGCGGCCCCAATACAAAACAAAAGGCCAAAGAGACAAGAAGGATTTAGGCCCAGTTCAAATTCCTCCCCCACGTAAGCCCTGCAGGAGCAGAGCCAGTAGCGACCCCCAACAGTTAAACCAAATGCTTCAATTCTTGTACTGTATTTTGACCTCTTTCTTCCTTTGGTTTTGCAACCACAGCTGGTGGTCAGGGGCATCCCGAAACTTGCTCTACATCCCTCTAAGTTAGCACCTTGGCCTCTGATTTTTTTTTCTCCCCTTTGGCCTCCCAGGCAGAGTTCAGGAGGCCCAGGGGCCAGAAAGCAAACACCAGCGCCCAAAAGTGAGATGATCACCTGGAGGGGCTTAGGGGCTACAGGACTACAGTACACAACAGTGCTCAGGGGGCCCTGCAGTGCTGGGCATTAAAACAGCACCGTGTATGTGCCAATTATTTGCTCCGAACCCCTCTACTGTCTTCCTGGCCTCCACACTTAATTCTGTGCAAAGATGTTAAGGAATAACACTACAGCATTAGGTAATATTCTAAGACTCAGAGGAAGCAAGAGGTTGGACTGACCCTTTTCTGCACACTCTCATGTACCTTTTGCATTCTCAATACTGTGCATATAAAATATCTGTTCTAAAACAAGTGAAGTGGGGCTGGAGCGATAGCACAGCGGGTAGGGCGTCTGCCTTACACGCGGCCCAACCCAGGTTCAATTCCCAGCATCCCATATGGTCCCCTGAGCACAGCCAGGAGTAATTCCTGAGTGCATGAACCAGGAGTAACCCCTGTGCATTGCTGAGTGTGACCCAAAAAGCAAAATAAAATAAAATAAAATAAAAGAGGTGAAGCAAGGGACAGGGCAAGGAGGGATAGTACAGTGGATAGGGTGTTCGCCTTGCACACTGTCGATCAGGGTTCAATCCCCGGCATGCATATGGTCTCCCCAAGCACCACCAGGAGTTATTCCTGAGTGCAGAGCCAGGAGTCACCCGAGCATCAGGAAAAGGAAGGGCCAGATAGAGTAGACTTAAGGCGCTTGCCTTGCATGCTTCCAGCTTGAGTTCAATCCCCTCTGAGTAAGAATTTAAAGCAAGACTCGTGCCATCTCACTTTTTATTAAGAGAAACAAAGGGAACTGTCACAAGCACATCAATAAGTGGATGCTAACACATGATGTTCTGCTGTCTACCATGAAAGCAGGGATCAGACTGAAGGAAGTTTTCAGCTTCTGTGCCTCCCCAGAAGCAGGGGGCATCACTGCCTCAGGGCCCCCAAGGAGAGGGAAGGCTGCGCCCTGAACTCACCAGCCATCACATCATAGTTGAAATGCTCTGCCGCAGGTTCTAAGTTCACCACCTGGACAGAACGGCCGAGGGCTTCACAGTGCTGGACCATGGTGGCACAGTAGGTGCTCTGTGGACCGGGAGGCAGGAGGGGTCAGAGCTTCAGACAGACCCAACACCACCAGACGAACCCCCACAGCCCCAGCTCAGTGTTTGCTAAGGTCCAAACTAAGCCATAATCCCCCAAGAAACAGACTGAAACCAGGGAAAAGACACAACCCGGGGCTGGGCATCAGGGAACTGCATGCAGTGCAGATTCAGCCCTACTGTGGCCACACTGACCTCGGGCCAGCGGCATCTTTCCAGTCAGTGTCCTTATCCCTGGCCGATGGTCTCCGCACTGCTATCAGGTGGGGTAAGTATGATTGAAAGGTAAGAATTGTCCCCCGCCCTTGATTTTGGGGCCACAGCCAGCGGTATTCAGAGGGGCTTACATGGTTTGGAGATTGAACCCAGATTGGGTGTGTGCAAGGCCCTGCATGCTCAACCTTTCTGGATTCTATTTCCCTTTAAAAATGAGAATAGGGTCTGGAGCATAGCACAGTGGGTAGCGCTCAGCTGACCCGGGTTCGATTCCCAGCATCCCGTATGGTCCCCTGAGCACCGCCAGGAGTAATTCATGAGTGCAGAGCCAGGAGAAACCCCTGTGCAGTGCCAGGTATGACCCAAAAACAAAGGCTGTGGAACTAAAGGGGCCCTGGAGCGGGGACACGGAGAGTCCAGAGGGCAGGACACTCCCCTCGCACAAGGCTGTCTCGCTTTCATTCCCCGGACCATCCTGGAAGCCTGCCAGGAGTGATCCCTGAGCACAGACCCAGGAGTCAGCCCTGAGCACAACCAGATGTGACCCCAAAAGCAAAAAAATGCGGGAGCTCATACTCAAAAACAACTGTACCACATCTGACATGGTTCAAAGTAGCAGGCAACCAATCTTAGAGGGAAATAAAAGGTAAAGGCCCTCCCGTTGATCGTCGATTTGCTCGAGCGGGCCCAGTAACGTCTCCATTGGAGACTTTGTTGTTACTGTGTCTGGCATATCGAATACTCTCGGTAGCTTGCCGGGCTCTCCGAGAGGGAAATACATATATATATTTTATAGATACATATATACACACACACATATATATATATAAACACACAAGGCTCAACCTTTTACAACATGTTAGTAATCTCTTATAGAAGGGCTTAACGGCCCCTGGGTAGAATACACACTCCTTCCTCTAAGGATACTTTTTTTTATAGCATTTTTAGCGATTTTTGTTTGTTTGTTTTTGGGTCATACCTGTCGATGCACAGGAATTTCTCCTGGCTCTGCACTCAGGAATTATCCCTGGCTAATAGTGCTCAGGGGACCATATGGGATGCTGGGAATCGAACCCAGTTTCGCCGCGTGCAAGGCAAACATCCTACCCACTGTGCTATCACTCCAGTGCCCTGGCAGTTTATCATATCAAACAATACAAGAGAATAGATTATTTCAGTTCTGCTTTGGGACAGGGATTGGGGTTCGGGATAGAACTACCCGAAATGTGGTGCTGAGAAGGTGTAATGGTGGTGGAATTGGAGTCTGAATATTGAATGTAATCAAATATTGTAAAACACTTTATAAAATAAAAAAATTGGGAGGTTGGAGCGATTCAATAAAGACAATGATAAAAAATGAAAAAAAGAGTGTAAGGAGGAGTTCATGCCCAATTCAATCAGCTAATCAGTGGCCGAATATATAGCAGTACACCTACATTAAAAAAAAAAAAGGAAAATGACATTTTAGCAGCACATTCTTTCAAGTGGCTGCTCCCTGCTCTCCCAGGGCCTTGAGTTCACCACGTGGACAGGACTTGTGGGAAGAAGGAGAGCAGCAGCAGCCCAGAGGGGCTGCACAGAGAGCAAGCCCTGCTGCAGGGCCACAGCTGACCTGTCCTCCCTGTGATGTGCCCGATGACATCACCGACCTCTCTTTGTGATGCAACCAGACATTCTGCAGCCTCCCCAACTGCCCCCATACTCATTACTTGGTTCACTGCGGAAACGCACAGAGAGCAAACATGTTTTGCTGTTTACCAAGAAATCGTGGTTGTAAAACCCCCAACTGTAGGACACTGAAAAGATTCAGAAACTGGGTGAGGACTCACTGGAGAACTCCCCGGAATTCTTCTCGAAGACAGCCGCTAGTTCAGGTCAGCAGGAACTGGCCCGGGCAGCCCAGCACTGATGACCGTGATCAGTCTTCATCACCTCCCTGAGTGTGATGGCGCAGAAGCTGTGTGTGTGGAAGAGTGTGCACACCCGTGTGTGAACGTGTTTATCGGAGAGAGTAAATTTGAGTGTGTACTGGAGATGGTGTGTGTGTGTGAGTATGAGTATTTGTGTATGTACGTGTGTCTGTGTGTGTGTTGTGAGATCATCTTGAGGGCAGCCTGCTCCTAGCAGGTGAGTCATCAAATCTAGCCCCCAAGGCCAGGTCACTGCTCACTGAGTTGGCACTAGGAGGTGCTCTTGGGCCAAGACTTTTCTAAACTTGATTGTTTCAATCTCATTCCTATGGGAGGCCTTTGGAGATGCAGGTCCACCAGCAGGGAGGAACTCAGAAGGGAGGGGGAAGCAGGGCTTCTGGAGCTGAGCCTTTGTGGTTCTCCCTCCGCAGAGCAGCCCACAGGAGAGAAAGAAGATCTTCTACATATCCTCTGGGTCCAGTTCCTCTGCAGAAAGTCTGGAATCAGCCAGCACCAAGCAGAGCCAGACACCATCTAAGCAGAAAGTTGAGATTGGCCAAGGATTTTCAACTCCCCAAAGGGCACCGCCTTCAGTGCCCTGGCCTTACACATATGGCAGAGAACGAGACTCAGAGCACCAGAAGAAAACGGGTAAGAACCAAGGGGTGTGTGTATATGCACAAGTAAAAGGGGAATGCGAAAAGGCCCACCTAGAGGTGTCCTGGGGGCTGGTGTGGGAAAGGAGAGTCACAGGCCGGAGAGCCCATTCCGGGGAGGCCTCCACAGGAAACCCCCGTGAGGTGGGCCCATGGTCTCCCCTTCCTGCTGGGCTCCCTGTTGGGGTCAGCTTTGGAGAATCCATGGAAGGAGCCCTCTGGGTGACCTTTTCTCTTATTGATTCTTTAGCTCCTGCTCTGAAAGCATACTTGGCTCCGTGTCCAAGGACAGCGCCAACACTGATCTCTCGAGTACCAGCTGCACAGCCACCCGCTGTGGCAATATTGGACAAGTTCCCAGAGGACTTAGCATGTTTACAACTGAAAGAAGCCCAGGGTCTCACATCAGTGTCACTGTCTGGAGAACCTCCCACCAATGAGTATCTTGCCTCTGTATATTTTATGATTTTTATTCTTTGTTTTTACATTATCTTTTATATTTTCATTTAAATAAATTGTGATTGCTACTCTTCACAAGCATCCATTTGCCTTTTTTTTTTTTTCGGTTTTTGGGTCACACCCGGAGAGCACAGGTGTTACTCCTGGCTCTTCACTCAGGAATTACTACTGGCGGCGCTTGGTGGCCCATATGGGATGTTGGGATTCGAAACCAGGTCTGTCGCGTGCAAGGGAAATGCCCTACCTACTGTGCTATCACTCCAGCCCCGCATCCAGTTGCATCATAACATACACTTCATTTGTTCTGGCATTCTTGAAAATATTCATCCAACATAGAAGACAACTCATCTTCATAAAACACAAATTAGAAAATTCATTGATTTCTCCGCAGACCCAGTATGTATTGACCTACTGTTCAGGCAATGCTCTATAATACCCAGTAGTAGTGCTAACATATTCACTAACAAAATTGGGGCGAACGAGACAGCACAGGGGGTGGGGCACTTGCCTTTTCTGAACCGGGGGCCCAAAGCACCATCAGGTTCTGGAGCACAAAAGCCACGTAATCTCCAACCAGGGTTTTGGTTCACTGTATCACTGTCCTCCCATTGTTCTTCAATTTGTTCGAGCGGGTCCAGTAACGTCTCCATTGTAGACTTTGTTGTTACTTTGTTTGGCATATCAAATACGTCATGGGTAGCTTGCCAGGCTCTGCAGTGCGGGCGAGATACTCTCGGTAGCTTGCCGGGCTCTCTGAGAGGGGTGGAGGAATCGAAATCAGGTTGGCCATGTTGGCTGTGTGCAAGGCAAACGCCCTACCGCTGTGCTATATATATATAAACACACAAGGCTCAACCTTTTACAACATGTTAGTGATCTCTTACAGAAGGGCCTAACGGCCCCTGGGTAGAATACACACTCCTTCCTCTAAGGATACTTTTTTTATAGGATTTTCAGCGATATTTTTCGGAGGGGTCATACCTGTCTATGCACAGGAATTTCTCCTGGCTCTGCACTCAGGAATTATCCCTGGCTAATGGTGCTCAGGGGACCATACGGGATGCTTGGAATCGAACCCAGTTTCACCGCATGCAAGGCAAACGTCCCACCCACTGTGCTATCACTCCAGCGCCCTGGCAGTTTTTCATAGCAAACAATATAAGAGAATAGATTATTTCAGTTCTGCTTTGGGACAGGGATTGGGGTTCGGGATAGAGCTACCTGAAATATGGTGGTGAGAAGGTGTAATGGTGGTGGGATTGGAGTCTGAATATTGAATATAATCAAATATTGTAAAACACTTTATAAAATAAAAAAATTGGGGAGTTGGAGCGATATGACAGTAGGCAGGGCATTTACCTTGCAAGTGGCCGGCGAGGTTTGATTCCCAGCATCCCCTATGGTCCTCTGAGCACCACCAGGAGGAATTTATGAGTGCAGAGCCAGGAGGAACCCCTGCACATCACCGGGTGTGGCCCAAAAGGAAAAAAAAATAATAATAATAATAAAAGGTAAAAGGTAAAGGCCCTCCCGTTGATCGTCGATTTGCTCGAGCGGGCCCAGTAACGTCTCCATTGGAGACTTTGTTGTTACTGTGTCTGGCATATCGAATACTCTCGGTAGCTTGCCAGGCTTTCCGAGAGGGGCGGAGGAATGGAACTCGGGTCGGCCATGTTGGCCGCTTGTAAGGCGAATGCCCTACCCAATAGTTTTTAAAAATGAGG